TTTCAAACTGATCGATTTTGAGATTTTCGAATGGCGCGAACTCGCATTTTCCTTCCATCATCTCCTCTTTGGTCCGCATGTAAATCCCGATACAAGACATTAACGCAACGTTGTCGTGATTACGTCTCATGTCCTTATTCATTATCACTAATTGCATTTGACAGAGTAGATCTTGTTTGTAGATGTACGGTTTTTTAGTCATACTGATGTAGATTCTTGGAGCAGCCTGGAATGATTAAAGGATTTAAAAACACGATTCCCACCTCCTTTAAGGGCCCCGCAACAACTCACCAACGGATATGGAGCAGAAAGCTCGGCCTCAAAAAAGTCCATATTTCCTGGAAAGTTGCGAAACGCCGCCAATTGCTTCATAAGATCCGTGCGACTCAAGTAGTATTCATAACGGTCGTCTTCGTTGTGCAAATACGGTTCGCCGTCCAGTTCGTACACCATAGTGTGGTGATCCTCGTGTAGATAGGCATAGAAGAATGGGGCGGGCCCCGGATGTTTTGGATTCACAAGCCACGGTTTTTCATTTGATTCAGCTTCTGGTGGAGTCTCCGGTTTGCTAGCCATTTCTGAAAAAGAACGATTTTTTAAAATTTTCAAAAAAAAAGTCAAAAAAGGACCCATATTTAAGCCTATTTATCTCGGCTCCTGTAACAGTTATCAAAAATTGATAAACTAACAAAATGTTAATGCTATTATGATAAACATTTTGCCAGTTGACCACTTTTTGATATCTTTCACATAAAATCAGATAAATACACTCAAAATATGAAAAAGGAACATTTTGGTCCACGGCAAACTACCCACAGCCCGGGCCGCGGCCCATATGATAAATGCTGAAAATTACGAAAAAAGCGACAAATGGGTTTGAAAAAATAACAGAAAAAGTTTGAATCAATAACAGAAAAAAAATTTTCCCACAAAATCGGATTGTCAAAAATTGAACTTTTGATCTACCAAATAACCTTTTTTAAAATTTATTTTTGAAATTTAAAAATTTTAAAGGCTAAAATGCAACATATTTATTGGAAACTTAAACATTGGAATTTTTTTAATTCACTGGTCCAACTGTTTTTGCGAACATTCTATCCTAAATTGCCTATTTTTCCTTTAAACAAAAAACTCGTTTCGTAGCTTGCCGATAGTTCGTAGACATTGCATTATACATAACACTATGGGAAATCACATTTAAACAATAAATCAGGGATATGAGAACGTGTCCAGATCCTTCCAGTGAGTTGAGAATCGGGTGCATTTCAAGATCAACAAATAAATGAATAATACACGTTCTCTGTAGAACTCAA